ATCCACTCTGTCTTGGCCTTGTTTAGAGAGGTAGAGGGCAGATGCTGGGGTACCCTCAGAGTTACAGAGGAATGATGTTTGGCCCATCCCACCCGGAAAGGGGAATTTTAAATGGGAATAGATGTTAAAGGAGCAAGGGACCCTCAGAAGCAAGATAAATCTGAGATGAGCAGGTGACCCACCCCTCTGCTCCCAAGCTGGGATGTCACTCTTTTAGGGTGGGGGCAAGTGGCCTTGGCTTAGAGGCCCTGCTGGGCTGGGGCTCCACTGACATGGTGAGAAAGAGGTCGGGGAAAGTTTAGGTCTGGGTGGAGCAAGGCTGAGGTCATCTCAGGCCAAGGACCCCATAGCAATGAGCCCAGGAGGAGGAGAGGTGATAGGCTTAGCCAGTAACTCAGAAGGCTGGGGCCAGGGCCCAGAGCAGAGCGGCTGGCAATCAGAGCTCAGGGAGGCAGCAGGAGGTGCTCTAGGGGCTCTGATCCTTGCACTCTGAGAACACTGAAGCTCAGGATCAGGGGAAGCCTCTTGGGAGGGGCATAGGAAGTGCCCACTGTCCTTTGTGTGCTTTCCTAGCAGGACCTGGCCATGGGGATCTGGGGGTCAGGTAGAGCGGGTCCTCCTGGGGTCAGCACACTCCCAGGTTGGAACTAGAGCTCCAGGGAGCCTCCAGATCCCATGTGGTCACTATGGAGATGGAAGTGAGGTCAGGCAAGGGAAGAGACTCATCTAGCCAAACAGCAGGGCTCCCACCAGGTGTGCGGTCCCTCCCGGTCATGGGATATCAGTCCATACACAGGTTTGCAGGGGCCAGGCTCTGTGTGAAACCTCAGGAATAAGGGTTTCCTTGCTCAGCCTGCAGGGGTCCCAAGCCTGGGTACAGAGGGGTTGAGAGCCCAGTGGAGGTGTGAGGGCAGCACAGCGGTAGAGGAAGGACAGAAGGATCGGGACATTTAGCCGAGCCTGGCAACTGGGGCAAGACTGGCCCTATTGCTGCAGGGTGATGTGGGGTAGGAGCCTGGGGCCCCGCCTTCAGGGTCAATTTCTGCCTCTGCCAGCTGCTTGACCTTGGGAGAAGTGGCCGAAAGACCTCATGCCACAGTTTCCCCCCATGGAGTTGTTGTGGGATGACCCCAGTTAGAATACATAGGATTTCAGGACAGTGCTTGGCCCCAGGAAGTGCAGAGTGAGTGTGACTGGTGAGGGTTGCCTCTGGCAGCTCAGAGTACCTCTGTCTTTCACTGGCCTGGGAAGCTGAGATGGCACCTGGGGTTACAGGGGTGTGTGAAGCCATCCTGAGGGTCCCAGGGCTGGCTTGGGCTGACGCACAGTGGTACTTCATAAACACATGGAGTGGCAGCATGGGACCAGGAAATGATCCCGAGCGAGGACAGCTGAGGCAGCTGGTGTTTACGGGCGCTCAGCTTGTGCTGGGTGCTAGACTCGGCAGGGAGGCCTCACTGATCTTCCCAACACCCTGGAGGGGGATGTTATTGGCATCATTTTCCATTTGGCTCAGAGAGGGGAGGCCGCTTGCCTGGGGGCACACAGCATGTAAGTTTCAGAGCTGTGATTTTTGACCCAGGCAGTTATGGGCTCCATAGGCTGCCTTCCCACCTGAGCAGGCCTGGGTGGAGATTGTAGGTGACCCGAGGAGGGACAGAACAGGGGATTGCAGAGCTGTGGTAGGAGGAATGAGGCTGGGAAGTGGCCAGGGGGCTTGGCTGGGTTCTCCAATGTCACTGATCCACCGAAGCGGGTCCTCAGTGCCCGCCTTCCCTGGGCTAATGGGTGGCAGACAGCTCTGAGGGAGAGCAGCGGGGAGGGTCCCTGGTGAAAGCACGAGGTGGGGTGAGGCCTGCCAGGCAGGGGCAGAGCTGTGCCACCCCATGTTCCAGCTCTACCCAGCTGTCCCCATTGTGCACCCAAGGACACAGGGACTCTGCTGCCCAGATGCACGCCCATGGGGGCTGGAACTTCTCCAGCACCTGTAACGCCGAGAGCCATGTTCATGGGTTTTTCAGGAGTGATTAAATCTAAAAGAGGAAAACTCAAGTTGGAATAAAATATTTGCAATACATGTAACCACCAGAGGACTGAAAAGCAGAATAAAGAAAGAACTACTAGAAACCAATAAGGATGAGAAAACGGTCTAATTAGGAATGGCCCGCAAGACCTCACTAGGCTTCCCTAGGGGCCACCAAGCAGCTGATGACCATGTGAAAAGGGGTTTGTCAACACGGGTCTTCAGGGACAGAGAATTGAACCCACAGTAAGACACTGTGATGCCCCAGCACAATGGTTCCAATCAGAATGCTGACAGTTGTTGCTGAGGACCTGAGCATGGGGACAGTCCTACCATGCTGGGGATTTTGTTGTGTCTCTCATGGAAGGCTAGGAGAGCCTTAGACGCTCCTAGTGTTTGGTCAAAAGGAAGGACACCTTAGATCCACCCAGAGACATGAGCAAGAGTGTTTGTTTAGGAGTTACAAGGGCCCCAAGCCCAGAAATGATCTAAATCAATAGCTGGATGAATAAAAGCCGTATATTTACTAAAGGAACTTGTGCATAGAAATGAGAACAAGGGAACTACTTCTCATCCCATGTAGTGTCTTTTGATGAACAGAGACTCCTCGTTTAAGATGAAGTTCAAGCCAGGCCTGGTGCTGTACCCCTGTAGCACCCTGGGAAGCTGAACCAGAAAGATCTGTAGTTTGAGGCCAGCCTGGGCAGGTTAATAAAACCCTGTTCAACCCCCCCCCAAACAAACAAACAAACAAACAAACAAACACACCAGGGCTGGGTATGTAGTTCAGTGTGAAAACCCTGTGTTCAATCCCTAGCATCACAAATAGACAAATCCCTGAAGCAGCCGAAAACAGGAATGATGTTCAATTGGTCATTTATTGTTTAGAATTGTTTTGTTTTTTTTTTTTTTGGTACCGGGAATTGAACTTAGGACCTCACACTTTCTAGGCAGGTGCTGGGCCACTGAGCTAAATCTTTGGCCCCATAGCATTGTATTTTGTGTCCAATTTCGGAAATCTCCTGACCCAAAGTCCTGAAAGTATTCTCCACTGCTTTCTCTGAGAAGCTTTCTTATCTTTGGTATTTGGGCCTTTTCTGCCTCAATTTTGTGCATGGATGGTGGTTGGCCCGGGTGGCAGTGTGTCCTGGACTTATTTATTTATTTATTTATTTGGTGAATATTCACTTGTCCCAGGTCACGGCTTAGGAAGTCCACTCTCTTTCCACGGGATCGCTGTGGTGTGTCTGTTAGATGCGGCGACCCTGCCTGTTTGGGCTGTGTGTGACGTTTTGATTGTTCGTGGGTGTATTCCAGTTTGTCCTCCACAAAGGTTGTACAAGATTTGTCTCTGAGCTCTGGGGTATCCATTAATCTTTCAGGACCTGTTACAATGATACCACTGTTCTCATAATTATAGTTGTACAGCGTTTTGCCCTGTGGTAGGGCTAGTTTCCATTCATCTTTCTGCCTTTAGAAACCAGCCTTGATCAGTCTCCCGTGCAGATAAATCCTTGAGCCATCTGGCAGTTTCCATAGACAAAATCTTGTTGGGGTTTCGGTTGCGATTGTGGTGAAGTCTGGATTAACCCTGTATGAGCAGGGCCGGGACTTTCACCTCTTGGGGAAACCCAAGTCCAGCAAGGGCAAGTGCTCAGCCCGGGGTCACTTACATGGGAAGTGGTGGGGCAGACAGGATTTCACCCTCATGCCCCGGATCAGTGTGGTCTAGCGCTTGCTTACTGAGCCCAGCTCTGTGCTGACTATACAATGAATGGGACTGGGACCAGGGCCAGGGCTGGGGCTGGGAGGTGGCTGTGTTTGCCCCAGGACACAAGGACCAAGTGCAGGGGGCACAGTGTGGCTCCAGGGAGCTCAGAATCAGCCTCGTTGGATCCTGACAACGGTCCCCCAGAAAAGGCTTCCAGAAGGTAGTACACTGGAAAGGGATCACAGTGGGCCTGTGGGGATTTTCATAACCTTAAAGAAAGTGTGTGTGTGTGTGTGTGTGTGTGTGTGTGTGTGTGTGTGTGTTACAGTGTGTGCCCAGGCCTGGAAGCAAAGATTGGGGCTATTGGACCAGTCCTGCCAAGGCTTCCTGACCTTTCCTGGCCTTCCTGACAGTGACTCTTCCTTTCTCCTCTTTCACCTGTGGACAGACAAGGGGACGTGGCCCTGCCACCCTATTATCAGCCAGAGGAGGATGATGAGATGCCCTTCATCTGCTCCCTGTCAGGGGACAATGGCATCATGGGCTGCCATGAGATCCCCCCACTCAAGGAGCAGGGCCGAGAGTGCTGCCTGTCTAAGGATGACGTGTATGACTTTGGGGCGGGGCACCAGGACCTCAATACCAGTGGTCTCTGTGTCAACTGGAACCGCTACTACAATGTGTGCCGCACAGGCAGCGCCAACCCCCACAAGGGCGCCATCAACTTTGACAACATCGGGTATGCCTGGATCGTCATCTTCCAGGTGAGTCGACACGGGGCTGGGGTGGGTGGAGGTGTGGGCAGCTCCTCCAGGTTGGCTGGGCTCTGTGCTGGGCATTTGTCACCCCCTTTACTGCAGTCAGCCTTGATTGCTGGGGTGATAGGTGTTATGGTGCCCATTTTGCAGGCAGAATGCCTGAGGGGCAGAGAGAGGAAGCACTGCAGCCAGCCAAGGACTGCATGGCTAACAGACATCAAAATCAGGGTTTCATCCTGCATGCATGGACCTTGGGTGTATCGCTGGACCTCTCTGTGCCACCATTCTGGCCCAAGGGCAGGGATGCCGCGTAGGGTTCCAGCAAGCCATACGGAGCTGGGGATGCCCAAGCACTGGCCTTTCCTGAGGCCACTTCGTCGCCTTCTCTGGGAAAGGGGTTGAGTGAGGTGGAGTAGACAGTCTCTCCAACCTCTTCCAGTCCACACACTCAGGCTCTGAGCCTCACCCCGTCCTGCCCAGGGGCGATAGCTGGGAAACAGGGTGGGCTCAGAGCTGGGGCTCAGGGTTCTGGTCCTGGCTCTACTCCTGTCTGCTGAGGGGCCTGGGACAAGTGCCCTCACCTCTCTGAACCTGTTTCCTCACCTGCATGATGGGGATGAGGGTGGCTACCCTGCCAGCCCCTGTGGGAAGGAACAGCGGCGGTGTGTGTCTCGAGTCCCAGGGCACAGTGGGGCCTCGGTGTGGGGTGCAGGGCTGGCTGGCTGCCCATCCTGTCTCAGGCTGTCGGTGTCCTCTGCGCTGGCTGCAGGTGATCACTCTGGAAGGCTGGGTGGAGATCATGTACTACGTGATGGACGCACACTCCTTCTACAACTTCATCTACTTTATCCTGCTTATCATAGTAAGTGTCAGGGAGCTGGGGAGCAGGGGACGCCGGGTGGGGAGCTCTTGGCAGTGTCCAGGGGCCCTCAGAGCCAGGAGAGCTGGCGGGAGGCAGCTGGAGGGGCTGCTTTCAAAGGCGGGAGCCAGCCTTGATTGAAAGGGCTTGTCAGGGGTGGCTGTGCGACGTGTCCATTACTCCTACTGCCTTCATCTCTCATCTCTGGATGGCGAAGTCCACACCCCTCCTCCCCTTGTCTTCCTCTGCCTTGAATCTCTGGGAACACATTCTTTCTACCACCTTAGCCAGATGGCTTTTCAGCTTCTCAAGGGCCCTGGCTTGTCCTTGTTTTCCTGGGGCAAGAAGAGAAGAAGGTGGAGACCAGGTGGAGCTCCCCGAAATTCCCCCGAGGGCTCTGCCTGCTGGGCTGAACAGGAGATGGAGGCCGGGTTCCACCCACCCTTCCAGGCCAGCTCTCCTGTGCCTCCCTGCGCGGTGTCCCCAGAGCAAGCTCATCCTCTTTGTCATGCCTGACTGCAGCTTCAGCCATGGCACTGTCCCCCAGATGTCAAGGTGATTTACCCTGGAGACAGTGGCTACCCACTCCCTGTTCTACAAGGCAGGATCCTGGATGCCTGGTGGTGGGTGGGGGCACACTTGGTTCCCTGGGGCCAGGGCCCCATCCTGTGTCGGAGGACCTGCACAGGAGGTCAGGGTAAGCTGGCAGGTGACCTGAGATGACCCTGCTGTTGGCTGAGCCCAGAATTGTCCTTGGACCCTGGAGACACGCAGATAAAAGGAAGGCACCCAATTGTTATACGTTGCTGCCCACTCCCCTGTTTACTTACTCCCTGCCTCAGGAGCCGAGGGCTGACACAGAGCAGGAGCCAGGCCTGGGCCCTGCCCTGCAGGAGGAAATAGTGGCTGGCAGTAGACAGTGACCATACGCAACCTTAGGTGCCATGAGAGAAGGGAGCTGAGGGGGCCCAGGGAGCCCCTTACCCCACTGGAAGAGGGCAGGTGGAGGATCCTGCTGAGGGAACCATGCACTGCTGAAGTTGCTGGAAGAATCTGGGGCCCCAGAGTGGCTGTGGAAGGCCCTGCCCGCTCCTCCTGTTGGCGTTAGCTGTGAGCCTGAAGTCATTAACACAGTGTGACCTTGGGCAGGCTTCTTGGTGTCCCAGGGCCTCTGTGAAGTGGGGACAGTGGTAGCATCTAGCTCCTGGGTGCAGGGAGGGTTGGAGGAGACAGCGTGAATATCCCTGGTACACAGTAAGTGCTCCGTACAGGTTTCCTGCTATTTCCACTGCTATTATGGCTGTTTGGTTAGGTCCCAGGTGTCCTTGCCCCAGGACAGAGGTCCCTGGGGTCTGCACATTCCTAAAAGGGGCAGGACAGCATTCTCGGGAACTGCTGGGCATCTTCTCAGTGAAGAGGCAAGATATTCCCCATAACCCTCTGCACCAGGAAGCATCCTCCACCCCATCCACCCCCATCATGCTGGTGGGTAGAGGAAGGAAGGAGAAATCAGTGCCCAGGGCTACCACCTGCACGCATCTCCTGGGGGTGGCCAGAGGAACAGGCCCTCTGATTAGGAAGCTGAGCTCATTCAGAGGCTCAGTGGGTGCTGGGTATGGGTGGGAAGGGCTCTGCTGGCTGGGGTCCCCTGGCTACATGGGCAGCAGGGTAGGAACATGAAGGACAGGGTCCTTGGCACTAACAGACTGACTGTCCTTACTGCTGCTCTAAGCCTGAAGCAAGGTAAGGCCTGACCAGAGGCCAGAGGTCAGGCTGGAGGGGCCAAAGTGGGGCTCAGAGTTGAGGTCCCAGGTGGGGTGTCGGGCAAGACCATACCTTGGAGCCTGGCTTGGTGGCGCCCTTTGTAGGCCTGGGGCGTCGCCTGGGCTGTACCTACTGTGGGAGCAAGGCCTCAGTGATCTTTCCTGTCCCCATCTGTGTCTGTGCCTCTCTGTGTCGCTGGGCTTCTCCACCCCCCTTTCTCTGTCCCCGTCTCTACCCCCAACTATGTGCCTCCCAATTCCATCCTTTCTGAGCCTGTCCCACTCTCTCTCATGTCCCTGTGGTCCTCACCCTTGCGCTTTCCTGGCTGCCTGTCTTTGTGTCTCCCCACTCTGCCCTCTTTGCTCTGGTTTGCGTCTCTGCTCTCTCCCTCCTCCTCTCCATCTCTGTCCCTGTCTTCCCATCCCCATCACTCTGTCTCCATCTCTGGCTCTCGGCCTCCCTGACTCTCTCTCTTTCTCCATCTCTCTGTCTCCCTCTCCCCATGTCTCCCTGCTGGCCCCTTTCTGATGCCACTGTCCCCTCTGTCCCTGTCCCTGTCCCTGTCCTCTCCTCCCGTTGGTCACAGGTGGGCTCCTTCTTCATGATCAACCTGTGCCTCGTTGTCATAGCGACCCAGTTCTCGGAGACCAAGCAGCGGGAGCACCGGCTGATGCTGGAGCAGCGGCAGCGCTACCTGTCCTCCAGCACGGTGGCCAGCTATGCCGAGCCTGGAGATTGCTACGAGGAGATCTTCCAGTACGTCTGCCACATCCTGCGCAAGGCCAAGCGCCGCGCCCTGGGCCTCTACCATGTCTTGCAGAGCAGGCGCCAGGCCATGGGCCCTGGGACACTGGCCCCTGCTAAGGAGCCCAGGCATTGCAGTAAGTGGCCTACTGGGGTACTGTCACCTGGGGACTCAAATGGGTCACATCTGCCGGCATGAGAGGCATTTGTCTGGCTAGAATCCCAGACCTCCATCCCAGGTCTCCTCAGGTGCCCGCTGCCTCACTATCTCTCCATCCCCATTCTCTGCCTGGCAGCCTGACCAGTCCTGGGCCAGGCCACTCAGCCCTGGTGTGCAGACACCAGCTCTGTCCCAGGTGCCACATTTGTGAGACATGAAGTATTATCTGTCATTGGTCTCGTGAGACTGAGCTACATCACCCCCACAGCCCATGTCCTCCAAGTCTGGCTCCTGCTGCTGTCCCTGCTTATCAGCATACTTGAGCAATGACATGGGGCACCTGGCATGGGGGTGGTGGCCCACTCTGCAGAGGGGTGGCATGCTGAGGTCACTTACATCTGGGCCCTGTCCTGCCTCAAGGCCATTTCTCCTGCTGGAATAGTTTGAGTTTAGCTAAAGGGCGGACCCTTTCCTTAGCTCTTTTGTTCCAGGAAACTGTCCTAGAAGGGTGGGCTGTGTAGCATCAGCCCCAGCCAGGGCCTTGCATCTGGTAGGCAAATGCTCTACCATGAAGCTTCCCTCCAGCCCTCATTCCCAGTTTTCAAGTGGGAAAACTAGAGTCCAAGGAGACCGGAAGTCACTTCGAGGCGCATAGTGTGTAGATGACAAAGCTTAGTCACACGGGATGTCTGCTCCTAGATGTCCCAGGAGGGGGCCTGGCCTCGCCTGTTTCCTCCCAGTTGGTGGTGAGTTAGTAGGCACAGGCATTGTCCCCGATATGCCCTTCCCTGTGTGATCTTGAACATAGTGGCCTCTCTGTAGGCCTCTGTCCCCTCTGTGGAGTGGTTCTCAGGATCCACCCGTGCATGACCATGAACTTAGTGCCCTGGGCCTCTCCTGGAAAGCCTGTTCTCCTACCTCTCTCCTCTCAGAGGAAGAGTCCTCCAGTGCTGGCTGGAACAATCCTTGAAGCCAATCATCCAGGTGTGGCCTTGGAGCAGGCTCCAGGTGGCCCAAGGGCTGGTGTGGCACATGGGTGGGCAAGCTGGAGCTGTGTGAGGCCAGTGCGGCCTCCCTGGGGGTGTGGAGAGCATGTTGACTTTGAGGGGCTTCCTGCTCCTGCCCACCCCCCTCTGACTGGACTGCAGAGAGGAAGCCCAGGGGCTTCTAGAAGGAGGTCTGGCCCCGCCCCAGGCCTCTACATGTCCTGAGAAGGGCTTTGACCTGTCCTCTGGGGCCTGCGCCAGGAGGCCCCCGGCCTGGTGCTGGCGCAGAGCCATGTTTGGGACTAGCGTGACGGCAAATGTGCAAACGGAGGCTTTTCTTTCTCTTTCGTGGTACTTTTTTTTTGCTTACACAAGCAAAACAGATTTTGTTAGGAAAATACAGAAAAACGCAAAGAAGAATCCACACTATCCACAGAGGCCTCTCTGATCCTCTAAGATGGCTCCCAGGTCAGAGAGCTGTAGTCCAAGGCCATCTCAGGCCTCCCAGAGGGCTCCTGGCAGGGAGGGGGTGATCCTGCTAGCTGCAGAGCACCCTTCTGTAGCCTGGCAAGTGTGTGCTCTGGACCCTGCTTCTGCACAGGGTGGAAAAGCCCAGAAAGGGAAACTACCTGTGGTGTGCTGGGACTGCTGTGGCGGGCTGGGCCTGTGTGGCTGCTGATGCTTGTCTGTTTCCTTTTTAGCACTGTGCCCAAGACATAGTCCCCTGGACCCAGTGCCCCACACGCTGGTGCAGCCCATCTCTGCCATGCTTGCCTCCGACCCCACTAGCTGCCCGCATTGCCAGCATGAGACAGGCCAGCGGCCCTTGGGCCCAGGCAGCACCAATTCCGGCGAGGAGGGCTCCGGCTCTGGCGGCTTCGGTGGTGATGGGGCCGAGGCTGATGGCGACGGGCCCCAGGGCAGTGAAGATGGAGTGTCCTCAGGCCTGGGGAAGGAGGATGAGGAGGACCAGGCAGACGGGGCTGCCCGGCTATGTGGGGATGTGTGGCGGGAGACACGCGCCAAGCTGCGGGGTATTGTGGACAGCAAGTACTTCAACCGGGGCATCATGATGGCTATCCTGGTGAACACCGTCAGCATGGGCATCGAGCACCATGAGCAGGCCAGTGCCATGGGACGCTGGCTTGGGTGGGCTGGAACAGGGTGGGTGTGGAGGAGTCAGCCTTGGTCACCCATTTGCCCCTCTGTCTCTCTGCTCCTGGCTGGAGCTGGGCTTAACTCATTCATGTGGCCTCAGCATCCGGCCCAGAGGAATCACTGGTCTATAGCTTCACAGCCAGCCTAGGGCCTGGCTTGAGGCCACCTCCACCTGTGGCATGAGTGACACCAGGCAGGGCTCAGATTCCCACGTCCCTTGGCTTCCGCGCCAGGCTCTGTGGTGCTCGCCTGGTGGGGGCCCATGCTCTCATTTCCCTGTTCGTTAGCTCACCGAGCACGGGCTCCATTCAATTTACTTAAATGCAGCCCCTGGGGCTGCCACAGACACTTTGGTTGGAGCTGCTGATTTGCCAGACTTTGCGGCTTAATTAAGAAAGGTCCCTGGGGAAGACTGCAGGGAGGTACACAGCGGGCGAGGTTGGAGAGACAGGTGTCCCAGACCCTCTTCTCCCAGGCCTCTGGCTTCCTGGCGTAGGTCTCCCAGGGAGCACAGACCTAGGGGGTCTGTACCCCTAGAGAAGGCCCCTGGGGAGCAGCTGCTGTTCTTGAGTGTCTGAGCACCACTGTACCAGGGCAGAGCCAGATCCCTACCTGTAGTGTGCTGGGACCAGCGGTGACAACCCATTGTCTCACACTAAGGAATTTTGCAAGTGGTTATTAAACAGCTGGCAGCTTGAAATTGGCTGTGGTGGAAGGATTTACACCACGGAAATTGGCAGATCATAGACATCAGGGCTGTTTCTCAGAGGCTGGCTTGCCAACACTCTGCTGACCCCTGCCTTCTTGCACCCCCACCAAGGTGCCCATGAGCAGGGCAGTCTCCTGGTGCCCTCCAGCCCAAGGGTCCCCTGCCCAAGCTTCCCTGGTGTCCCCCCTTGACCCTGCCATGTGCCACCTGAGCAAGCCTTCTCACCCAGAGTCTGATGGAGCCTCTTCCGTCGGACAGCAGACGCCAGGTAGCCCTGAAGTTGGCTCCCACCCTGTGTCTTCACCAGGTCCAGAAAGGATCCTACCTGCTCTTAGGCCACCCTGATGTTGACCTCCTGTGTGCCCACTTCCTCATAGGAATACCTGCTGGGTGCCACCCTGAGCCAGCCTGGCATCCAAGTCCTTACAACTTCTCTCTAAGCAGGCATTTTCTTAGTTACTTTTCCATCACTGGGGGAAAAAAAACACCCAATGCCCACAGCTTCAAGGTCAGGAGGCTCATTTTGGCCCAAGGTTTCAGAAGGGTTCAGTCCAGTGTCAAAAGGCTCTAAGGCAGAAACATCATGGTGGAGGGGCCTGGTGAAGAGAAGACGCAAACCCATGCAGCCTGGAAGCAGGGAGAGGAGGGCGGAGCCAGGGACAAGGATCTACCCCTGTAGGTGGCACTCACAGTGATCGACCTCCTGTGGCCAAGCCCCAGAGCCTAACAGCACACTCAGCTCTGTACGCATCGGTGGATGACTCTGCCATCCAGTCGCCTTCCAAAAGCCCTGCCTCTGGGCACGAGACATCAGGGGCGCATTTGAGACCTAAACTATAACAGGCGTCGTGGCCTACTGTCCCGTGCATTTGGAAGGCCATTGCTCAGAGAGGCCAAGCCCCTTGCCCAGGGTCTGGGTTCCAACCCTGATTCTTTTGACAGGGTGGCCCTAGGTGGTTCCCTGTACCTTGGCTGGTGTCCTAATCTGTCAATGGGCACATGGACCCATGGCACACATGGGTAGATGTGGTAAGCCTGGCATGCAGTGCTCATGAATCAGTTATGGCTTGTGAGTCTCTTGTTTGAGGGTTCTAGCATCAGCCCTGGGTGAGTTCATCATCCGGAGTCTGGAGCCTCAAAAAAAAATTAATTAAAGAAAAAATGAGGAGGAGGAAGCATTTTTAAAGTGTTCTTTTTAAAGAAGCTCCGAGTGGCAGCCATTGTGCTGCTGAGCTCCGTGCCGGGCCTGCCCCTGGGCCCGCTGGTATTTTTGCTTTTCTCCCTTGGCTCCCAGACATTGCTCTGGCGGGAAACGATCCGCCTCCAAGTTTATTTTGAGCAGCCCCTGCTGAGGTGGCGCCTGCAGAGAGAGGTGGCCCAGGGCTGCGCAGGGAGAGGGAGAGAGGACGAAGAGAAGGAAAGTGAACCGGCTTCCCCCGGTCACTTCCGTCTCTCTGACCATGGAAGCTCAACCACGAGTCTTGAGGCTGTCACTGCAGCTCAGGACATGGGGGTTGTCCCTGGCACTAACTTGCCTGTCCAGGTTCCTTAGCGCAATAGATGCTGTTCCTTATAGGGGTTGGATGGAAGAGAGTGACAGGGGAAGCGATGGGGTGTCAGCCAGGAAGGCCCTGTTTGAATTTCAGGAGGCTGGAGCTGGTCCGGAGGTGGGGAGCCCGTGACAGGCCACTGCTATGTGGCTGGCAGGAGGGTCAGGTAGGCTTGGCAGCTAGTTCTTTCATTATCATCTGCTGTCAGGGTCATAGCTGTGTCTTGTGTGCAGCTCAGAGGGGCAGGCTGGGGGGGGGTGACTCACCCCCACTGACCAGATAGGGAAACTGAGGCTCTGCAAGGTGAAATGGGTTGCCCAGGTGAGCAGCTGGCAGAGCGGGGCCTGGAGGTGCCTGGGAAGCTATGGATGGTCACACTAGAAGTTGGGAATGCCAGCCAGGCTCATGGCTCCTCACTGGCTGGGCAGGGCCAGCAGCAGCCTCACCCAGAGTTGGAGGGTGCCCAAGGTGGTAGACAAGAGACAGGGTTGGGCTGAGTGGGCAGCAGGGTGGGGATTAGGAAGTCTCCCTGAGATAGGGGTGAGCCTGGGCCAGAGCATGGCCACCATCCCCAGCCACAGAGGACTACATCCTGTGCCAGTGTTAGGCTCCTTCCTCCAGGCTAGTAAGTCCCTGCCAACCCAGGTCTAGGGTGACTCTGGGAAGCAGTGCATAGGTTAGTGGCTGACACTCCAGCCTGTGGCAGCCCAAGAGGGAGAGGCTCCAGCATGGGCTATGGCCAGAGAAGGCTTCCATGGGGTGGTGGCCCTGGGGCTGGAGCCTAAAGGGTGTCTATGAGTTCATCAGTGAGGCAAAGAGGCAGGTGCTGAGACCAGGACTGTAGGGACCCCCAGGCCCTGAGCAAGAAGGGTGTTCTGGGCAGACAGCCCAGGGGCCCAGCACGGCTGTTCCTGCACCAAGGCCCTTGAGGCTGGCTGTATCCTTAGGGCAGTGGGGAGTGATAGCAGGGGCCTTGCTGGCGAAGTGGACAGCTAAAGGGGCTGTGGGGATGGGGATGGGGTTGAGGCTGCAGGAGGAGACCTGGGCCTGAGATCTCACTCTGCTGCTTCTGCTTGACCACAACCCAGGACCCTGATGGTCACGTCTCTCTGAGCCTCGGGCTCCCTGTCTGTAAAATGAGACAAGATTGGGTTGTTGGAGGCTTGGATGAGACGATGTGTGGCAGGCGCTGGGCTGACTTGAGGGGCCCCTGGGCCAGTGAGGAGACCCTGCTTAACCTTCCCTCTCTCCTGCAGAGTGGCCAGTAGTGGGGCTTTCTGGGGCCACCGTGCTGACTCTACCCTCTGCCCTCCTACCTCTGGAGTTTTCTGTTCTTCAGCACCTGCTCTTGACCTGTCTGGTCTTTGCCATCTCCAGTGGCCTCTCTACCACCTGCCTTCCCCTTTTTGTGTCACTCACTTGCCGGCTCTCATCGTGTCCAGAGTCGTCTGTGTGTCTGTCTGTCCTCCTAGGTGCCCCCTGTCCATCTCGCTCCCTTGCCTCCTGTGTCTTCCCACGCCTCCCTTCCTGCCTGTCCCTTGCTGTGTCTGTATTCGTCTGTCTGTCTTCCTCCAGCCTGTCTTGCTCCCAGAAAAAATGCTCTCGGGAGTGATAGATGGTCCATTAGGAAAAGATTAACAGGTGTGCGCTGCCTGGAGAAACAGCTGTTGCAGGGGAGGAGGGAGCGAGTGGGTGACCTTTTGGGGAGAGCTGCGGCCTTGCGTTGATGGCTGATCCAGGAAGCGTGTGTGGCAGAGAGCCAGGTGGTGGCCGTCACCGACTGTCAGCGTCCACCGTTTTCATCTCTGAGGACGCAGTTTGGGTGGGCTGGGAAATTGGCAGCTCGGAACAGCATCTGAGCCTTCCCCACCGAGGCACTTCTCGGGGTCCTGCTCCCTTTGGGGAGCACTTTGTGAGTCAAATGTAATTACAGATGGAAATGGGGCTTTCTGCTTTTATCTGGCTTGAGAGGAGCTGGCAGTTTTATTAGATTTCCCAGGCACTACGTGGGAAGCTGGTGGTTGGTTATTTTATTTTTTCTTCTCCTTTTAAGTCGCATGGAATCAAAGTCAGACCCCTGAGGCTCCCTGTCGCTCAGTGGAGGGACTAGAGGGTGCCGATGGACAGGAGATGGCCTGCCGCATCCCCTTCTCTCTTTCTTGCTCTTAGGTTCTTAGGTCTCTGCTGAGATGTTCCTTCTTCCAGGGCTCCTCTGAGCCCCACTGCCACTGTCCTCCCAAGCATCCTGGGCTTCCCTGGTATTGGCAGGCATTGTGTGGCTTGTTAGTGGGGTTCATGGGACTTTGCTACCCAAAAGTGAACTTCTTCATCGCAGCTGCCAGTGCATGGCAGGTGCTCGGGAGATCTGTGGAAATCCTGCAAGAGTGAATCAATGTGTGGATGAATGAGTTGGGGTGTAGTTTCAGGGGTGATGCGATGGGACAGCGCTTCGGAGTCTAGCGTGGATCAGTGCCCTGCCCTGTACACTCTTTGCTGGGCCCCCAGGGAGCTGCAGAGGGGAGACAGGGGCCAAGCCCCATGGGGCCTTAGCAAGGACTGGGAATGGATGTGTCCATGTGTCCACTCTGGATTGATGGGTAAGGAAGTGAAGGCTCTGAGGTGTCTTGCCGGGGTCACAGAGCCACTCAACATCCAAACTAGACCTGGAGCCTCTTCTCCCTGTCCTGGCAGAGAACGTGGCCTGTTTCCAACAGCTCCAGGAGCAGAGGGAGGTCTGTAGGTGGGTTGGGCCAGGGGAGCTGGTGTCCCTTGGACTAGCTGGTGACGTTGGCATCTTCTGTGTGTTGGGCTGTGCCTGGTGTTTGTCCTCCATCCCCGGGTGCAGCGGGAGGTGGCTGGACCACCTGTGAAGTGGGTGCTGTGCTGCCTCCTCTGGGTGCAGCCTAGCTTCCTTTCCAGATGTGGGGAAGTCAGCCCTTCCACCCTGGGGGATGCCAAAGTGGCAGAGGTGAGATGTGCTCAAGGTCACAGACTAAACTCTAGGGGGAACGCAGACCACCAGGGTCACAGGTCCCCCACATCCCTTTGCAGCCCGAGGAGCTGACCAACATCCTGGAGATCTGCAATGTGGTCTTCACCAGCATGTTTGCCCTGGAGATGATCCTGAAGCTGGCTGCCTTCGGGCTCTTTGATTACCTGAGGAACCCTTACAACATCTTTGACAGCATCATTGTCATCATCAGGTACTGGTCCCACCTCCCACTTGGAGCGGGTGAGGGGGATTTAATGGCCTGACCCCGGCCAGGACTTCAGTACGTGAGGTGGGAGATGGCAGAGGAGACCAGTTACAGCGAAGCACATGGATGCAAATATTTAAAAGATTCATGATTTAGCAATACCTGCACATTAAACAGCAAGAGATAGCAGTGGGTCTAAAATGACCGTCATTCCCAAGGAAGGATGTGCAGAAGAAATACCCACTGTTCCAAGACAGAGGATGTCATGTGCCCACAAAGCCATGGGTGCAGCTAATTCCCTGTGCTTTATTATTTACATTCATGATCCAGAGCAATATTATAGCTCCTAAAGAGGACCGTGGTGTTCCTGGGTTTCCTAGATTTTTAATACAGCCTTTCAGTGGGCTCCATGGGTTCTGGGTTATGAATGAATGGCAGCATCTGTCTCTTTGTCCTTGCCTTCCTCCTCGCCTTCCTCCTCCCCTTCCTCCTCCCCTTCCTCCTCCCCTTCCTCCTCGCCTTCCTCCTTTCCTCCCTCCTCCCCTCCCTCCTCCCCTCCCTCCTCGCCTCCCTCCTCCCCTTCTTCCCTCCCTCC